AAATGAAAATACATATAAATGGATTTTATATATGATCAAAACATAGAGTTAATTGTATTTGGGTCACTTGTGGATAGATTAACCAAATGAGCTCATTTTCTAGCGATCAAGTCAACATATTTCATGCAACAATATGCGAAATTATATTTTAAAAAAGTTGTAAGATTGTATGAGATCCCAATATCGATTATATCTAATCGAGATCCGTGGTTCACATTATAATTTTAGAAAAGTTTACATGAGGTGATGGGAACCAAGTTGAGCTTCACTCGCCTTCCACCCATAAAGTGATAGACGGATGGAAAGGGTGAACCAAAAACTAGTGGATATGTTACGAGTCTATATGCTGGATTGGCTCGTAAGCTAAGAAAGATACATATCCTTAGCCGAATTCACATACAATAATAGTTATCAAGCAAGTATTGGTATGGCACCATACAAAGCTTTTATACGGAAGGATGTATCGATCATCAATACATTGGAATGATGTGGGTGAAAGAAAATTATTTGGACCTAAGTTAATCCAACAAACGACTAACGTAGTTCAACAAAGTAGAGAAAGAATGAAAACAATCCAAAGTTGATAGAAAAGTTACACGGATGTAAGGAGAAAAGAGCTAAAATTTGAGGTCGATGATAAGGTATTTTTGAAGATGGCTCTAATGAAATCAGTAATGAGGTTTGGGAGGAACGAAAAGTAAAGTCTAAGGTATATCGGACCATATGAAATACTAGAGAGAATTGATAAGCGAGCATACGGATTAGTATTATGACCTCTCTCCTTAATTCATAATGTATTTTATGTGTCTATGCTTCAAAAGTATATTGAGGACTCGACCCATATATTGAATAGTGAGCCACTAAACCTCCATCCTAACATCGATTATGAAGAAGGATCGATACAAGTGTTGGATCGAAATGTCAAGCTATTACAAAACAAAGAGGTTTCCTTAGTAACAATATTATGAAGGAACCATAAAATTGAAGAAGCGACGTGGAAAAGAGAGGCATAAATGTTAGCTAGATATCTCAAATTTTTTAGGTAGAAATGTCGATGATGAAATTTTAATAAGGAGGGAGGGTATAGTACCTCGAATCTATGAATAAATCAAGTAATATATTTTAAATATGTGTATAAATTATTCTGTATGCATAGAATAATTGCTAGAATATTATGTACACTTAAGTTAATTTTCTTGTGCTTGGGTAATATTTTAATTGCTTCTCCGTATGTGAATAGTATATTTTATGCAAAATAATTATTTTGAGTGCCTAAATAAGTGTCTAAAATTTAGGTGATTAATGAATAAATTACTATAAAAACTATATGAATTTATTGTGAAAAGAAATTATTTTTTGAAGTGTGTGGAACTAATTATGTCTATAAAGACTTTATTGCATGAGATTAAGAACCTAATTGCATAAAATTAAAATTTTGGCCCTCAAATAAATTTTAAGGGGCATAAAGATATTGAAAAAGCCTCGGGAAAAGATCAAGTGTAGTCAATTGAAAATTTGAAGGACTAAAAGGTGGGGATAAAAATTAAATGAAGTAATAAATCAAGGGACTAAAATAAAAATTTTGACCAAAATTTTCCCACCTTAACCGACCACTTACCCTCCATGTTAAATGAATGTAATAATTAATGAAACAAATGAAAGGCTATGATTAAAGTAATGAAGGGTTAGGATTAAAGAAAGAAGAAAGGTATAAATTAAATCAAATAAAAGGCATAGCCTTTGAACTCAACGATACAAGGATCCATCTAGCAAGAGAGGTAGACTGCTAGCACGTGTGTCGACAACATACGAAAATCTAGTCATATGAGGCATGACCTTTGGGTGTTCGCATCCAATGATGTGTTATATTCACCCCGAGGGTAAATAAAACCTAGATATATGGTTTGATTTGATTATAATACATATATGTATACGTTTTGATGGTTTGATATGAATTGGTTTTGAACCAATTAAGTTATGATGTATGATTTGATTTTACGATATGCATTTGTTTTGGAGAAACTAGCATTGCATCTTGAGTTGAATTTTAAGTTATCGTTCTTAGTCCGTTTTCCTCCTTTAGATGTGTTATATAGTATCTATTCATTGAGTTATTGATTTATTCACCTTCCATTATTTTAGTTTTGCGGGGTTTGTGAGGATGCTCTTTTAGCTTCCATTTAGCTTGTATTGAAATTGTCACATTGATTGTCCAACTTATTTAATTGTAATCTCTTAGAACATGTGTTTGATTTTGTTGTAATTCTTATAAGCTCTACAATTATAGCTTGTGGGTTTTGTATTAGAAATCAATTATGGATATTGATTTGAGAAATAGAAGAATAACGTTGAATTATGATTTGTGTTGAAGTTATAAGTAATGATTATTAAGTTGGGATAATTTGAATGATATTTGAGGATTATAGTATAGGTATTCGAGGCTTACTTAAGTCCGGGCGAGTCTCACGGTTTCCTCGATTTTTGCATTAGTCATGACCTATTCCTAGGGTCATGACATGTACTTTCGTTGAACAACTATCCTTATGGACACGAGGAACTTGTTGATGATGATCAACCTTTTGTAAGTGGATCTAGGTGATCCGGAAGGAATACAAGGCGAATACCAACTTCTTCGAGCATAAGCGGCAAATACGGAGATGCGATGAGTTGTTACGAAAGATGTAGACCCTCGTTAATCCACCCTTCTCTCTTCTTAACCCTCCCCTACCTAGCAACTATCGGATGATGATGATGACCTCTCACATGTACCCCTCGATTAGACTAGCTTTTTTTTTAGGCTTAATTTTTATTATTTATGTACACTATAATGCATTTATATATATTTCATTTCATTTTATGTTATTTTTATTTTACATAATAATATTTTATATTATAATTTTATTTTTAGTTGTTTTCTACTACGATTAAATATTAAACTGCTAATAATGAATTACAAAAATACATTTCCTACATCGGCGATGGAACAACGATCGACTAGTGATGAAAAAAAATAATTAAATTACATCAACTACCGATGGACAACTATAAGAACCTCGATACGGACCAAATGGAGATGGATTAGCGACGAGAAAATTCACTTGTGAAAATTTTTGTCAATGATTTGTTGTCACATTAGCAATAGAAAAAGTCCTTATAGCAACAACATGTCCGTCGCTAAATTAGCAATAGATTCTAACTTTCATGGCCGAATTATTAGTGACGAATTGTTTTATCAATAGATTGGTATAGTAGCTATTCCGTCGTAAAAAAAAAAAAAAAAAACCGAGTAGAATATATAGCTTTAACAATGAAGGCTTAATTTTTTATAATATCACTTTCTAATTTTTCTTTTCACTTTTTGCTATTTTTCTTTTCCAAAACCAAAACCAGCTAATTCCAAGAGGTTCACATAATAACGGTTAAAGATTTTTTTTCATTCCTAATTTTGTGTATTTAAACCTTGAAACCAACATATAAAAAAAACTGTGACTATTATAAATTCATAATATCCCATGAAATTCATAAAGAAAATAAAATTATAAATAGGCACTTGATTAATTTGCCGTGGTTAATATACCATCAGTCCAAATATGGAAAACATATAAGATTGGTATTGAAGATTTTTAAACAATAGAGACTGAAATAAAAACGAAGTTTACGTTACTAGCAAGGACAATGATGCACGATAGGAAAAAAAGGTTAATAGTACTTTACAGGAATAGATACAATGACACGAATAATAACATTTTATTAGTTTTGGATTATTTATCTCATCCTATATTTTTGTAAAATTCAATTTTTATTTATCCCAACAGTTATACCGAAGTTAAGACGTCCCGCTAGGCATGTCACGTATATGCTGAGTCATCAAAGTGGGTTGAAAGCTTTCACGAAGGGTGGATTAGCTGGAGGAGAAGGAGCAATTGCCCCCCTAAAATTTTACAAAAAATCCTTTTAGCCCTCATTCGTTTTAATATTTCAAGTTTAACCTCTTTATTTTTAAACATTTGTCCCCCATATTTCTTGAAACTGTCCTTGTACCTCCTTTATTTTTTATCCTAAGTCTGCCCCAGCTTTTCATCATTCCATTTTAGTTTCCTACGAAAAAAGAAAAAGGAAAAAAAGAAAAGAAAAGAAAGAAAGACACTATTGACGATACATGTTTAGGGCTAATATGATTTTCTTTTATAAACTAGCTTTATTGAAAGTGAATTTTGATTTCTCCAAAACATTTAGGATCTACGATCGTAACAAAACCAAACATAAGTTATTTACAACATACAACAAACTCCAATTTAATTAAAATTATATGCAAAAAAAAAATTAAAATGATAATAAAATTAAATTTATCCTTTTTGGTCAAATTTTTATATTGATAGGTTACAAAAAATCATCTAAGTGTACCCCAAATAACTTTATATCTCATTTTATGTCATTTTGATAAGTTTTTGGATGGATAGAGGATCTAATTCAAAACTTCAAGGGTATAAACTGGACGGAGCCTAAAGCTCCGTGGGTAAATTGAAATTTGCCCTTAAAAAAACCTGGGAAAATCACGTACTCCTATTTATACATGTGAAGGAAAAGGAAGAGAAAGAGAGGGGGAAAAGGAAGAAGAAGCGAAAATCTCTACTAAGCAAGCACGAGTGAAGTTTCATTTTCCAATCTTATAAAATTTTGATTCACCCGTCTCTAATCTAATCTAGATTTAGAACAAAGCTACAATAGTTTATTAATGAATTAGCAAATTTTTTCCTATCCAATTATTCTTTGTTTATTTTCCAATTATCATTCATTCCAAAACCCTAGCGGGTTTACTTGCTATTCAATTCCACCTTAATTATCTATTGATCAAGTACTTAATCTTCTATGTCAGTTCTGCTCTTCTTACTATTCCTTAGATTCTTTGCATCAAGCTAAGGCTTTCAATTTTATTTTTGCGCTCAAGATGTTCGACAAAAATGCTCACTGCTTATGTTACTTAATGTATTGACAGGGAAATGAAGCAATCAAAGGATCCATTCGAGGCAGCGTATGTGGAGCAAGAAGAATCGCCACCGGAATCCCCAATTGCCCAAGATGATTATGACACCCAAGCTTCTAACGCTGCTGCTGGTGCTGCTGATGATTCTCAGGGTGCTTTTGTTGCTCAAGATGGTGAAGACCTTGGCAGTGGCGGCGGGCATTTTGTCCATCCCTCTGACCATCCATCTACTTCGAGGCCCGTGTTGGGCTCTGCAAGAACTAAGGCAAAGAATAAAGACGATGATGACGAGGAAGAGGAAGATAACATGGATGTTGAGCTTTCAAAGTTGGCTTCGACTGCTGACCCTGATAAAATGGCCAAGATGCAGTAAGTAAAGCTTTTTAGATTCATAATTCCTTTACTTTATCCTTTCTGTTATTGTGAGTTGTTATGTATTTTAATGTTATCATGGGTACATTTACTGATGAATAAAGAATGGTGTTTAGGAACTTCCTGTCATTTATGTTGGTTGTAAATGGATTATCTTTTTTAAGGCTGTGTTTGAAGGCGCTGTTTTAAAGGGGCTGATGTATTTATAAGATGTTAGAGATCAGGAAATGGATTAAAAAGGTGAGAAGCAGGGGTGCACTGCTTTGCTTTTTGCACTTTCTGAGCAGGCTTGGTTTCTCCTCCTTCGTTTTCAGTTGACTTCGTGATGGTATTGAAGATCTGGGATTAAGGGGATTACAATAGTTCAGGACCTAAGCAGTTATGTCAGAGTGCATTACATGGTAGAAGAGGCAAGTTTTGGATGTTGATATGAGGGAGTAAATAGTCTGGTGCATAGGCTCAAGATGGTTTGGTTGACTGTTGAGTGTCTAGAGATCCTGCTTTACTTGGCCATCGGTTTTAGCTAGACTCAGATTGCTTATAATTTTCAAAATTTCAAATATTTTAGCTTCAGCCCCTGTACATGCATCTTGCAAATAGTATCATTGGCAAAAAATAGCCTCTTTCTTAAGATCTTCAAACCTTAAATATTTTTATGATTCTCTCTTTAAGAAAGGCTAGAGTGTAAAGCTTGGGATTAGAAAAGGTTCTTTTTTGCATGACATGATAGCCAGTGGCAATAGTTGTATCTGTTACTTTTCTGGATGCTTGTTTCCAGGTGACATGATTGGTAGGTAATTTCAATTATTTCTGTCGTTTAACTATTCTATGAAGGAATTTGAGGTAATTAACTGCTTTCGTAGAGTTTTTCACTGTGACTCTGATCCTAGATGGATTATTGAATTCAAGATTCTTGTGCCTTTTGTAAGATGCTCAATCATGTTTGGTTGCTTACAGCTGAGACTGATGCATTCTATTTAGACCACAAGGACTTGTTTAAGTTGGTTCATCTTGATAATAATACGGCTAATAAAGAATGTTAACGGTTAATTTTGTAGGATCTTTTTGTCAATTTTCTTGGTTTTGTGATACAACAAGAATGTTGGCTTCTCCCAAGAATAAAAAAGAACAGAATGATTAGTCTCACAAAAGAGAGATGTTTGTTTTAACTTTTTACAATTAAAATGATCTTTATATGTGTTCCTAGATTGGCCATGGGGTAGCATGTTTAGATGATCCCCCTTTGGATATTTTCAGGATCATAACAAGAAATTGACTGTGTGTTTGAGTGCTATGAAAAATGAAAAGAACTATTTCAAATGCTTTTTAGCATTAATTGGACTAACATTATTGCCACCTTATCTAATAATTTTTAAAAGGAGGCATTTCTTTGAACTATTTCCCTTTGTTTCTTTATTCAGGGCTATTTTAGCTCAGTTTACTGAAGAACAAATGAGTAGGTATGAATCATTTCGCAGATCTGCACTGCAGAAGACTAACATGAAAAGGGTATGTTTTCTTATTACTTGCATTCTTCCCTCTTTTCTCATGCTGTTTCTTTTATGCCTTGTCCTTGGGAAGGGTATGTTTTCTTATTGCTTGCATTCTTCCCTCTTTTCTCATGCTGTTTCTTTTGTTTTATGCCTTGTCCTTGGAATTTATCGTTTGGGTGTGGTTCATGGTGGTCTTTTCTTCACCCCTGCCTCCTGTGGGCCAATACATGCAAGTGAATATTGTCTCTGTCGTGGGGAATAAGTTTCCAGAAGGTCCTTTGGGTTTATACAGTAGTTGCTACATTTTTTAATTTCTTCCACTCAACCTTCTTGAGATGCATGATTCATGCCATTAATTTTTGCACAAGCTGGTTTTGCTACATTTGTTAATCACTTCCACTCAGCTTCCTTTAGATGCATCATTCATGTCGCTAATTTGTGCACAACTTGCTTCCTTTATTCATTGATGTTAACCTGAACTCTTTATTTTTCTGGCATGTTGTGATTGCAGTTGTTAGTGAGCATCACTGGAACCCAGAAAATTTCTTTACCAATGACTATCGTGGTTTGCGGTATAGCAAAAATGTTTGTTGGGGAACTTGTTGAAACAGGTATGCATATATGTCTTGCTTGCCCCTGTTTTCTTTAAATTTCTTTTGCAGAATTGAAATGCTTGTCTCTTCTAAATGTAAGAAAGGAAGAAGTAACAGTGGTGTTTCTGTGGCTATAATACAAGTTATGTGATGACTGACCTGCAGCGAACACTTTGATGTCACCTTCTTTTGAGAACTGCTTGATGTTATGCATGTCTAGGCTGGACAAAAGTTTGTATATAGATATCTGAATAACTGCCTCATATGTGTTTCTTGTATATGGTTTACAGCTAGAATTGTGATGATGGAGAGGAAGGAATCTGGGCCAATCAGGCCTTGCCACATAAGAGAAGCATATAGAAGGCTAAAGCTTGAAGGCAAAATACTGAAGAGATCAGTACCGAGGCTCTTTCGGTAAATGAAACACAGGTGCATATTTGGTGGTTGCTTGCTCAGGTTTCTAATTTGCATGTCAATTTTGTTTTTGACATTCGTCTCCATGGTGTCTAGTTTAGGTAGTTAAATTTATAACACCTAGGTTGCCTATTTGGATGTCGCAAACCGGGCACAATGTGATGCTTATTGGTTGAAGGGTTGAAATTGCACTAGTGTAGTGAGGACTTGGGAATGCTTCCGGTGCCACTGGGATTTTCATTTGTAAACAGAAATTAAAAAAAAAAAAAAAAAAAAACACAGTTATGAAGGCCTTGTATGGTAATGCCATTGGAGGTGATTTTTCCCTAACTGCACAGCTAAAAGAAATGTTTGGATATGAAAATTATTATGTGGGTTCCATGTCAAAATGAGATAAAACCTTGGTTTGGGAAAAGCATAAAAACCATGCTTTTCCTTGCGTTTATGAGAGGCAATGAGTGAAATTTTCTAATCTGATCATCCATTGCAATAATACGGTCCAGTACTTCCAATATGCTTATGCATAAGATATCTCCCGTCTTTTCTTCCTTTTTTCTAAACTAGCACATGATGCCTTTTTTACTATTCACAGATGCATGTTATTTAAGATTACGGCCTCTTTAATTCTTGTATACTTGAGATTTTTGAATTTTAAATGTGTTACTTAACTACAATAATAATAATAAATAAATAAATAAAGACGTTCCTTTACCTTTGAATTTAATTTTAAAAATTGGTTTTTTTGTTAAATTATATACAATTTGTAAGGTAATAATTTTGTTGTATTGTTATATTGGTTTTGCATTAATGAAAAATAAATAAATTTCAACGTCTTTTTATGTCATTTCATAATACTTGTGAAAAGAGCTTTTTGTACCGCGGTCCATGAAATGCAACCAAAAAGAACTTTCCTAACCCAATTATTTCTCTAAAATGCTTTTCCATGAACCTTATTCTTTTCACACTGTGCTGCCGCGAAAGTCAAATACAACACCGAACTGACACGAAGATGGAGGTAGCCCAGAAGTGTTTGGGTTTGGGAGGGACGAGTGGGGATAATCCATGATAGATTTTATAATACTAAAGAAATAATTAATGATATGTATAATAGTTATTTATGAATTCATTTAGAGGAGAGAGAGAGAGAGAGAGAGATGCATAAAATTATATTTGAACTTATTAAAAATGATAAAAAGATTTTCACATTCGTTTAATTTTTCGTAATCCCATAACATTGTCAAGGTTTAGAGAATGAATTTTGTTTTGTCCCATTGATTTTGCTCTTCTGGTCAGCTGAATCATGTTGATAGAGCCCTAAGCCTGTAGTTATTTTATGAATTCACTTAGAGAGAGAGAGAGATACATAAAATTATATTTGAACTTATAAAAAATGATAAGAAGATTTTAATATTTTTAGTAATCCCATAACATTGTCAAGGTTTAGAGAATGAATTTTGCTTTGTCCCATTGATTTCACTCTTCTGGTCAACTGAATCATGTAGATAGAGCCCTAAGCCTGTAACCAATGCCATGAACCCTCTCAACCAAATGCGTGAGTCCTTGGCGTGAAAGTACTCTTCCTAGGACGCATACTTGCACAAGGTTCAAAACTACTTCTTCTTTAAGCACCTTGATTTGCTTGATAATGAATTTCACTTGCTCGAAATTTTAATTGGAATTGAGACGCCTCTATTGGGTTTTCACTTCAAACAGCAAGGGTTTTTCTTCCATGTCTTCAAGTTACCATGATTATTTGTTTTGTAACTGAATCATGCAAACAAACGCACTTTACTTATTTTTCCGTAACAAAAAAAATGAAGTCCCCAGTGACTTGGAAGTCATTGTAACTATCACCAGCACTCCAGCAGTAGGGTCATCCCCAGTGCTTTTGATCCACCCATTTAACTTCCTTAATTACAAAACCATTAAAACTTGCGACAACAATTTCCTATATCATAATTTTGAATTTTTGAAAGCGAACAAAACATTGTTTTGACGAAACCTGATCCTGCGTTAGTTTTTTGTTTGATCATGTAACGAGTATCAAGCAGCTTGGTTCTTCCAACACAAGTAGTTCTGTTTTGCCATTGAAATCTGAATAATAAATAACAAGCGCAAGCCAAAATTGTACTTCTGTAATCATTTTAATGCGGAACCTCCGTCCACTTCCAAGATCAAGTATTAAGCAAGGCTCAAATCAGAATCTGCAAACCATTTTTGAGGACAAAAAAACCCTAATACCATGTTATTTTGTTCTCTAAAAACATTATTCAATATACCTCATAGAATTTACGAATGATTGTCAAAATAAGTCTTGTATTGTAAGATTTTATCAAGATGATATGGCATTAACCTTCAAAATTTAAAGAGGGTAAAGGAAAGAAACAGAGAGAAAAGAAGGTGTCGTAAACTCAACCAAAAGTTCAGGCAGGAGGGCTAAGTTTTGAGTTGGGCCTAAGGTAAGAAGAAACCCTAGTTCAGTAAAGAATAGTATTTTATTGAATTGGCCTTGGATCCCAAGTAGCAGCAAACAGAACAAATGAAAACAGAATAGAAGGGACATAATAGACAAAAACCCCAATAAAAAATTGCAAAAACCTCCTAGGTACTACCCCCTTCCTCACACTACTGTGGCAGTGTGTAGGAGGAGTAACTTACTATTTATACACTTCCCATTATATATGTTTTACTCCACCTATTTACAATTCTTTGTTTGCCTGCTTTCTCTTCCGCGGCTCTCTCTCTCTCTCTCTCTCTGTTACTCTTCTTTTCTTTCATGTCTCCGCCTTCTCTCTGTCTCTCTATCTATCTATCTATCTGTGCCTCTTTGATTTCCCATGTCTTGTTTGATGGGATTATGAGAAAGCCATTGTTGATGTAACTATTGACTGAAAAGATAATCTCCCTTTAGATGAAAAACCAGGAATCCCACTTTTAACTTGTTAAGGTCTGCGTAGTTGTGTTGTTTCATCAACAAGTGTTTTTGCTTGGTTATAATGATGAGGTCTGTGTCCTTCTTTGCTGCCTCAACCAATATTGTCTGTTTTTGTTTCTTTTGTTTCTCCTTCTTCTTTGTAACTCATCATCCTCTTCTGTTTTTTCATCATCTGGATACTGTTAAAATCTGAATTTGGCTTTGAGTGTTGATCTTTCTGCTTTCTTCTGGCTTTGTTTTATCAACTTTGAATAGATGGATTGGTTGTTGGATCCGGGTTCAACTGTTCCTGATGTTGTTTGTTGGTGATGGTCATGATGAGAAGAAGGAGACATGGACATGGGTTTTGCTTGTTTTTGTTTGTTTTTTATTTGAGTCTTTTGAAGATGAGATTTTGTTCGCAGATTGCAGATTTTTTTTGTGAGAAGCAACAACAATGCATTCAGTGTTTCAAAGACGAGTTCCTTATCAAACAAATATAACACGATACGATGAATAATCAATTGTCTCTCAAGAGTGACATTAACACTCTTTTCAATGGATTGTATTATCTATAAGATCCAGATAGTATTTGGGTTCTGGTATTGATCAATTTTTGTTTCGATCAACCACCAGTGTTAAATGTCAATTGCTGTTGTGGACAATACAAAGATCCCAAAATCTCTGTTGTTGGTCTTAAAATTCTGCTGCTGCTTCTTGGATTAGGCAGGCCTTATCCTTTCAAATTCCATATTGCAATGCTCATTTCTTGATGAGCTAGAGTCAAAGACCTGCTTCAATCTCCTTCTTTCTACAGTCTGCAAAATAATCTTCATTTGTCATCAACTTCAATGTTCCACCATTCTTTGTTTCTCTAGTTTTTCCTTTGCGATTCCACTCCTATTATTGCTTTAAGTAAAATGAGGTGTTTTGATTAATTCAATTTCTATTACCCATGCTTTTCATTCACTGATCTATGGCTGGTTGTTTTCAAATTAATCTGGATTTTATGTTTGAGAAAGAATGAATGCATGGATTGTTTGTTGTGGTAGCTAAAAGTTCACTCATGAAAATAGTATGTTTTAATCTTGGTTTATGCACCGAATCCTGTGAAAAGATTTCAGTTTTCGCTTTTTGATGATACGATCTTTGGACTGCTAAGTTCTCCGTATGTTTCTGATGAATTCTTGAATCATTATGCATTGGTTTGTGGATCATCTCTCTGTTACTATCTACTAATTATGAAGGACTGTTCTAATGTGTACAGGTATCAGAGAGTAAGCCCAGATTGTGTTCCTCTAAGCAATGGCAAAAAACCCAATGGAGGTGAGAATGGAAGGTCAATCCCAAATGGATTCAATTCCTCAAGTACTAATTTTGAAACTAAAGGTTTCAGATTTAGATCCCCATCGAGAAACCAAGACCACCACAATAACAGTACAACCAGTTCTCCACATTCAGAGAACAACCACAATCAGACACAAAGACATAACACTAGTCCAAGTCCTAGCCCAAGCCCAAGCCGAGGTGGCAGCGGTGATGTGTTGTTACAATGGGGACAAAAGAAGAGAGCTAGAGTGTCAAGGTCTGAGATCAGGGCCTTGGCTGATGAATCATCATCTTCTGGTCAAGCTAGACAACCCATCAACAAGATTCCTAGGAGAATTGATAACAAGAGCTCTCAATCCACCATGCCACCACCGCCTCCACCGCCACCATTCCAACAGTCTCTCAGTACTAATACCAGAGGTGGAAACTTAAAGAAAGAAAATTCCGGGTTTCTTTCTCACAGGTAATTTTTTTTTTTAATGAATTTTATGTTTGTTGGATATTTGTCAAATTATGAATTTATTTCTTAAGATTATGTGCTAGATATTGTTTGATGATTGAAAACCTGCACTTTATGTATTTTTGGTATACATTCCTGGAATTTATTTGGATGATATAATTTGGTGGATCTTTTCTTGATTTCTTATTTTGAGGTTAGTATGGAAAATATTTAAATGTCTTTGGATCGAAACGTATGATATTGTTAGCTTCTCTATTCATTGATTCTAGTTGTTGAAGAGCAACAACTTCTTTTTAAAGTGATTTTACCTTTCTACCCTTTGAAAGATGGGAGAAGAATATGAATATATCAATCTCTCGTCTTTCTTCACCTATTGGTTTGATTGGCATCCAAGAAGTCCATTTCCATTTTCAGTCACCTCTCCCTCATCTGTGTTTGCTTTGTTTTGGTTTATTTGCTTCTCATTTTTGCTTGCTATTTTGATGGGGTCAAGGTATCACTCATCCACTTATATATGTGCCCTTTCTTTTTCTGCCTCTTGCTCATGTCATGACCCTTCTGTCCTCATCTTGAGACTTTCCCATCTCTTTGAAATTTCCTTTAAGAAGGGAGGAAAAAAAAAAAAACTATTACCCTATTTAATTTTTTGCTCTTTATTGGCGTTGGTGATATTTGTAAAATGTGTTTTTCTATCTTTGTTTCATTCTTGCACACACAGTTATTTAGTGATAGTGTATCTAGTACTGCTGACTAATAAGGTTAAATGATGCTTCTTCTTTTCTTGTTTTAGGTGGGTATTTAATTTTATGTTGTCCCTTTTTCTGCCCTCGATCCATATTCACTTCAAAGTCTGAAAAAAACCCACTTTTGTTTGTTTGTATCTCAGAACCAAACCAAAGCATTTCTCATCAGCAAGTTTGCATCTCTTTTTTTGTGGCCATGACCAGGAATTTAGAAAAGCGATCGGGTGCTGGAAATGGGTCCCCATCGAGAAATAGCGGTGGCAGTAGCAGGGCTGTTTCTAGATCTACTGCCGGAAAGAGATCTCCTCCAACGCCAGAAAATATCGATAGAAAGATGCCTAGCTCTAGGTCAGCAGTAAAAGATGAGAAGCCAAATGGATCCATAGTACAAGCCGATCATCAAATGAATCAAGTTGATTCTACTCGGGTTCAATCAGAAAAAGAAGCTGGGGTTCCAACGAGCAATCCTGCCTCAGTACCGGTAGTAGCTAGTGGAGGAGAAAAGGTGTATAACAATGAAGTCATTGAGTGGCCAAGAATTTATATCGCTTTGTCAAGAAAGGAAAAAGAAGATGATTTCTTTGCAATGAAAGGCACTAAACTGCCTCAGAGACCCAAAAAAAGGGCCAAGAACATTGACAGAGCACTTCAGGTAAATCACAAACTTGCCTATCTTTTTTAATATTATTGATATGTAAGAATGATAAAAGATTTATAAGGGGTTTTATATTTGTGTATTTGGGCAGTATTGTTTTCCAGGGATGTGGCTCTCTGACTTAACAAAGAGTAGGTACGAGGTTAGAGAGAAGAAGTGTGTGAAGAAGGTAATGGTCTATGATCTATCTGCTTCTTACACTTGTGTTCATGTGCCATACATTTTTTTAAAAAAATTTTATTTGTTTTGTTTGGTTACTTTACTTTCCTTTCCTTCATGTCTCCATCCCTTTCAATCACTTGCACATATTACGCTGTTGTCATTAAGCATTGGTCTTTGTTCTTTTTTTTTTCTTTTTTTTTTTTTTTCGTGTTAGGCATGTTAGACACGGAGTCCAACTTTGTGTGGACGTGTGAGACTAATACATGCCTCCAAACAACTCAAGCCTTCTACTGCTCTTTACCTAATAAACTGCTCTTCAATGGATGGGTTGTTAGATTTAGCTTCTTGCATAATGAAAGTGAATAGTAATTGTTTTTTGAAACCAAAATATAACAATAAATCAAGTCCCTAGGATGGATGGTACATGAACTCTTCTTGAAACTTTGACATGTTATCGTATATTCATATGGACGGTGGGATGGTGGAGGCTCTAGTATTACTCAGGGGCATGAATGCATGGTCTAGTATTACTCAGGGGCATGAATGCATGGGGGAAAAAAAAGGGAAAATGTTTTATATTAGTAGTTTTTTTTTCCTTTTTCTTGTTTGTTTGTAGTACTATCAATCGTCCAATGATGACGAAAGACTAAATGGATGGATGGTTGGTTTGTGTGACTTTTCACATGCAGCAAAAACGAAGAGGGCTGAAGGGAATGGAGAGCATGGACAGTGATTCCGAGTAGTGGGCAGTAAATCCTCCTATTCTAATTATGATGAGAGATATAAGCAGATGCCCCTTCCAGTCTCTCACTGCTGGTGGTTTATTATTATTATTATTATTATTATTGATGTTCTTGTGGTTATTATTAATGCGTAGTGGGTAGGGTCCATCCACTCTATTTTGAAATTTACCTGCCCTGCTGGCGATGACATCACCAGATCGAGAGAGGAAAACAAGGGTTCAAAAATTTGGTAGGGCCTCGTGTGGTGGGGATGTTTGCCCAGTGATCCATCCACCAACAACAGATGGATAGAGGCAAGCCGATGACGACCATAGCCTAGCTTCGATGGTTTCACAGATGGGTTGGGCCAGTTTCAGCCAGCTTATGTATGGACAGACAAGAGGAGTAGGAGGATCTTTTTGTTTTTCTTTTAGGGTCAAAGTTTTGTTTTAAAATTCTTTGGTTCATACTTCTGTACAAATGCTCCTGCATTTTTCCCAACTTCAATTTCAAAGCAGCCTTTTTTTTTTTTTTTGTCTCTTTTCTTTTTAACTTTACGACGCGTTAAGTTTTTCTTTTTGCAGCCAATCGGATAGTATTACTTATTTTCTTTGCTCGAGTAAATGAAAAGAGAGGGAAAAAAGAAATAAAATACAGAATACACGTAGAGTAGGGTTACATAACATCTTCGTTTATCTGTTACCGAAAAGGAAAGCTGCCATAATTGATTTGTTAGGACAAGGTGGCTTCCAGGAATTTTCCTCCTTTCTTCTGATTGATCACTGCTGACGTGACTAATGATGTTCATTGATAAATCCTTGCAAGTATAAAGAAGTTTCTTGCGCCAAGTGAAGCTAGGAAGGCTCATCAAATCTCTCCTTTAATCCTTCTTGTCAGTGAAGCGACAAGGGAACAAAAGAAAACACGAGCAGCATCAGATACCCAAAGTTTTAGTTGATCTCTGTCTTTGCTCCCAGCGAATTTGCGAATGCCAAAGATTCTGTTGAAACTCAAGTGTGTAAAACTCGGGGAAATCCCTCATTACATACATCAAATAAGACCAAATCTTCAAAGCAAGTGAACTAGAGACCACAAATATTAATTAATAATAATATCATTAAAATCTTGGAATCAGGAATTACTATTCAGGGATTGGAAGAGAGTCTTCAAGAACTCCTGTTGCTGCCATTGCAACTGAAAAGACGTCCTTCCATTTCTTGATTCTAGCAGGAACCAAGTCAATTGCAACTTTGTTTGCAGACAAACCTTTTTCACAAGCATTAGATTTATCATAAGCATTATGAATATCAAAGGTTGCCGTCTGACCTTCCAGCCCGTCGAGGTTCAAGAACATTAACCCCTCTTTAAAACTGGATATACAATTGTTAAGTGCCGGCTTAAATGCGGGGTTTGTGTCTTTGCTGCTGGCCAAGTTAATAAAGAAATTGACTGTATCATTCGATTCTTTTCTTGTTAGTTGTATGGCATTCTCCGCCATGCCCATCAAATCATAGTGAAGCAATGCTTGTGGGCGGGACAACAGAGTCTGCAGGCATAATTTAATGTTCTCGGTTCGCTTGCAAATCCGAGCCATGATTTTCAAACTCTTGCTTCCAGACATTGCCTCGGTCTGAGAAGGAAAATGCAAGAAGAGACAAAAGAAAATGGCAGTAAAAATCAAAACTCGATTCCTGGAGGAACTCATTGTCGAAAACTGAGAGAAGATTTGTTTCTTGTGCTAAGAATGTAGCTGTATCTTATCTGATTGTTGGTTTGTGGAGTCTTAAATAGAAGAGAAACAGATCTAAGTTTAGAAGAAACTCAGTTACATACTTTGCTACTACAACTGGATTTACATGTTACAAGACAGTTACAAGAATTTTCATGTTTTTTTAAATTTTTTTTTGGGATCTGTGATGCGATGGAAAATGCTACACCACACAAACTTTAGCTGATTTTATGGTAATACAGCTCATCCTATACACAGCACACTCCATGCCAGAGCAACTCATTTACAGCAATTCTCAAACATTCATACATCACATACCATACCCAAACTATAAAAAGCTAGGCTGGGTAATTTTTGTAAAACAAGGGGAAAAAATTGCTCCATCATTTCTTGTTCAATTTCTCCTACCCTCAAGCCTTCACTCCCCAGAATTAAATTTCTCGTCAAAAAAAAAAAAAAAAAAAAAAATCATTAAGAAATAAGCTACAGAATGAATAGGAGTTTTGTTTTTTTGTTTTCTTTCCCCTCAAAATAAGGTGTTCTTAATTCTTTGTTTCCGCAAGAAGTATTCTATACCATGCAGACTTCTCCTATATACATAGTCAGCTGACAGCTTCTTACTTTTCTTGATTAATCAATAAGGAATCAAGGGAAAAACGTAGTGACACGCACTCTCAGGACACGAATTCATAACACACAAATGCCAAATTATATTCTGGTCTTTAAATTTTATGATTGTGTGATTAGATCTTAAACCAACAAAAAAAATTATGATTTTTTTTTACTAGCCCCGGCCGTCTACTGAAAATTATGTTCTAAACTATTTTCAAACAAAGTTGCGCATAAAAAAATATTTCAATAAAATAGAAATAAACTTTTGGCATTTGCATTTCAACAATTAGGAGAAAGAAAAACAATTTAATGAGTGAATAATATTTTTTATAATTCTCCATAATAATTTTCATATTTCGGAAAAGTTGTATGATAAATTTACTATTGTTTTTACATTAAAAAAAAAAACTCATTACAAGAAAAACTAAAAGATCTAGAAAGTTGACTATTCATACATTGTTCATTTACACTCATTTTTACTGTGGACAGAGATATAGTTGTACTGTATTGTTTGTTTTGTTACATCTCAATCCTTGATTTTTTATTACACATGATTCGTGACCGTTGGATTTACCTTTTTTAAATTAATTAATATTTCTTACGTCACTTCATGGATTTAGGCTATTATCATTTTGTCCTTTACTAATTCTGTTTCTTTTCTGCCTTTTTAGCTATTTATTGTATTTGTCTTTTTTATTTTGGCAAGACATTTAATGTTGCCCATTTCTCTCGCTTTCTCTTCCTACATTGGTTTTTTCAAACTTTCTATTGCTTTTTTTTTTTTTTTTGGGTTTGGTTCTTGCATTGAGAATTTTTTTTTTTTTTGTTAGATCCTCAAAATTGGCATACCTAAACCCTTCATCTGTTCATCTCCCTTTCCCCTCTCCACCAAACTCTTTAAGTCCCTCAACTCCTGTAATTTTTATCATGTTTTCTCGATCTATAACTCATCTTTCCGCAACCGTAAATTTTCCTTTTTATGATGTTTTTATCTATATCTCGTAGACTCATTTTGGAAGATAAAAAAGAAAAAAGAAGAAAGATTGTTTTGGAAATATTTCTATCATAAAAATGGAAGAATATAATACTAATTTGAGGTGGGTTTTGGAGCTATCTCAAATTCTCAAAATAATTTTTTTATTTTTTTCCTTTTTTTTATATTTAAGGATTTGTTTGTTTGTTTGTTTTTTTTTTTTTATGAACATATAGCAGATAGAAAAGGATATAAAAATGGTTAGGGAAAGAAGTGTGTGATTTTTTTGGTTAGATTATTACTTTTGGATCTTTGTCTTGTAAATTTTAGGGGGGTTTTTTTTAATCAATTTTGTGGTATTTTAATAAAAAATTGAAGCTTTTTGCTATTTTTTATTGGTTGATTTATTTAGTTTGTTGCTACAACTTTTCATACGGTTTTATTTTATTTTTAATTGTTTCAATTTATTATTTTTGTGAATGAACACAACTTCAAATGGTTTCAAGAAATTGACATGTCAAAAAAAATATACATTAACCTAATGAATTATATTGTTATTTATAAAATTGCCATGTTCATGCTCCTTTTAACTTTATCATGTTTTTCTAGGTTTGTCACAACCATTGGGAGTGGGCCATGATCAACACGAGAATAGAAAGAACCGTGAAACCCATCTCGACTCAAGCAAGCTTTGAATACTTATACTATAATCCTTAAATCTACATTGTATTAGATATCATTTCAATTCACCATAATCCAACCTAATATTCATCACTTTATATCTCTAACATAAATCATAATTTGATGTTTTTCTTGCATTTCTTGATTCAATATCTATAATTACTTTCTAATACAATACCCATAAACTATAACTCGCAAAGCTTCTAAGAATACAATGAAATCAAGCATAAGTTTTAAGAGATTACAAGAAAACAAGCTTCATGGTCAATATGCCGACTTCAAATAAGCGAGTCGAATGGAAGCTAAAACGGCACACAAATCTTATAAAACTGAAATAGTGAGGGGTGAGCAATCAACGACTCGGTGAATAGATACTATATAACACATATAAAGGAGGAAAATGGACTAAAGATGATAACTTAAAATTTCAACTCAATATGTAATGCTAGTTTCTTCAAAACCAATGCATATCGTAAAACCAAATCGTAAATCATAACTTAAATAGTTCAAAAGCATTTCATATCAAATCATAGAATCGTACATATATATATATCATAATCATATCAAATCACATATTTAGATCTTTTTTATTACCCGTGGGAAAATATAACGTATCATTGGATACGAACACCTAAAGGTTACATCCTTTATGACTAGGTTTCTATATATTAGTTGATATATAGGCTAACACTCTACCTCTCTTATTAGCTAGAGCCTCGTATCATTGAGCTCAAAGGCTACGCCCACGTAGCTAGGTTCCCTAGTGGTCTTAAAAACATTTAAAAACTCGTATAAGCTTTATACATATTCAAATCAAGTACATAAAAAACAATGCATGCTCAAATCATAGTTGATAATATAATTTCATATCAAATAAACATTTATAAAAATTATACGGATAATCAAAATAATGATTTAAAGTAAATTTATATTCAAATTCATAATTGCATATCATTTAAAAAAACATTTGCCCAAACATATACTCAAATCTCTTTTAAAATCATGCCAATCCATTGCAACCATTTGTTATACGAAATCAGTTCAAATACACATAAAGTTTGTTCCCGTCTAAGTTTTAAAGAATGTGATTAAACCGTGCTTAAACCAATGATGCATGACAGGCATAATCAAAAGAATTCAAAAAGCATAATATGCTATATAATATCCACTCACAAGTATAATGAAAAATCAAACGAAGTCAAGGTTATTATGAAAGAGTCGTCTACTTTGAAAAATCTAATAACACATGATGATGGAACAGATCATCAATATCACATATCAAAGAATAATTCAAAATAAATGAATTATTTTAGGAATATAAACATAAGATTACTTATAGGAATATAATTAATTAGAAGACTCGAATAATGACTTTAACTAAACTCTATAACCTCTTTAACAATCCAATTATTAATTAAATCATCAAGTCCATTCTAATTCACTCAATTCTCATTCCATTTACCTTAAATTACATTTATATAACTTAACTCTTTATTTTTTTTCTAAATTCTTTTCAATTCAAAACCCAATTTTTGGATTTTTCACTTTTCATCATCTTCAACCTCTCAATTACTCAAATTCACTCAATTCCACTTCGTAAACCACTTATCCAAGATAATTACGCATCATTTAATCAATTATAATTACTTAATCTAGTTTTTCCTAAATGGGTCTCAAGACCCTACCATTAATCTAATTCAATTCTTCATTCAATCAACAAACCTAATGTAATCTATGTTTAAAATCATCAATAACTATATGTAAGCACTCCAATTTAAAGATCTAATGATTAAAAATCATGCCTTTGACACTTTGCTCTTTAATCCCCAACTCAAACCTAGCTCTTCAAGCTTTCCAAGTTTCAAGCTAGCTAAGCTTCACTTAATCAACTAATTTATAGTTTTCCTTAGCTAATTTAACTAGGTCTTAGCTTAGGAATTAAGAGAGAGAATTAGGAGAAATTTTGGAGATAAAATGGCATGAGAGGGAAGGGAAAAAGAAAGAAAAAGTGAAGGGGTGCCAGCCATTCCTTTTTTTATACATAGCCTATTTTTTTTAAACTTAAATATTATTTTTAGGTTGAGTTATTGTCCCCCTTAAGAAAATTCATTCTTGAATTTAATTCTACCCATACCTTTGCAAGTGAACAAGTAAGGATACTTCCTCTTAATTTTTTCCTCAAACTCTCAAGTTTTTTGGTTGAATAGTTCCTCTAAATGACCATAATAGACACGATCTCCTTATTTTGTAATTTTTTAACCCGACAATCTACTATTGTCATCGGTTGCTCCTCATATGACAAGTCAAGATTTAAATCCACCAAGTGTGGTTTTAGGATGTGAGATAAGCCGTGTACATATTTCCTTAGCATGGAAATATGAAACACTAGATGCACACTTAAAAATTATGACGACAATGCCAACTCATAAGCCACTACTCCAACTCGACCAATGATCTCAAATGGTCCAATATACCTCGGGCTCAACTTTTCCTTCTTCACAAATCGCATTAATCCCTTCATTGAAAAAACTTAAAATTACCATTTTGAAACTTCATATGTCTCCTCTTAGGATCCGCATAACTCTTTTGTCTACTATATGCAATCTTAAGATGTTCTTAGATCAACTTTATCTTCTTAGTAGTGAGCTGAATCGCCTCGGCCCTAAAGGTTCCTTCTCTTCGACTTTTGTCCAACATATTAGAGATCCGC